TTTATTCTTAGCTCTGTGTGGTTTAAACAATTCAAAAATTGTTATTAATCACATAATTAGAAAGTGAGTGGTGAGTCTGTGAGTGCAAAAGTGAAAGCAGGAAAGAAATGTTTGGAAACTAGATAAGTTGATTGTGGAGGAAAATTACCACCCAGATCTTCAGTGTGAATGAAAATTCTCTGTTATGGAAGTGGATGACTGAAAATACTTTCAGTCTTCAGAAGGCGAAGTCAGTGCCAGGTTTCAGGGCTTTTAAAGACAGGATAACAGTATTATTTGGGGGGTAAGGATGTTGACTGTAAATTGAAACCCTTTATTATTTAGCACAGTAAAAAACCCAGGTCTTCCAGTGTATCAGTAGACACTCACTACCAGTTTACTACAGGAGCAATCAGAAGACACGGGTGAGCCAGCTCCTCTTCCAAGATTCCTGCCTGAATTGCTATGCTAGCAAAGTGGAAAAGTATTTCTTGGAGAATAACACAGCTTTCGATATTTTGCTGATTGCTAATAATACTCCTGAACATCCTCCTTGTATTGGTAATCTCCATCCCAACATCAAAATGGGGTTTGAAGGGAGAAACCACTTTGATCCAACCAACAAATTAAAAAGTTACAGCAGCTTTTAAAGATTACTACCTGAGGAAGATTTTTATCCGGGCTATTGCTGCAAGTAAGGAAGACACTGAGAAGACACTAATACAATTGCGGAAGGACATCTATGACTGAGAACCTTGCTTGGGTTTAGGATGATGTCACCAAAGCATGTGTTAACAGCATGTGGAAGAAGACACTTAAGAAGCTTGTTCATGGCTTCAAAGTATTTGTCAAGGATGAGGAGGTTGCAAAAAGAGATAAGACTGTGGTTGAGATGGCAAACAAATTTAACCTGGGTGCGTATGAGGATGAATTGAGGAGCTCCTAAAGGTGCTTCCTGAGAAACTGATTAATGAGGAGTTGTTGGAACTGAACAGGAATGGATAGCTGAAGAAGAGACAAAAGAAAAGAAAACTGCAAGAGAAGAAAAAGAAAAGAAACACTCCCCCCAAATTCATAGGAAATAGTTTAGCAGAAGCTTTCTTAGACCTCAGCAGACTGCTTGAAAAGTTTAAAAACATAGACTTCAACACCGAAAGGTTGTTATTAATAGAGAAAAATGGTGCATTATGTGCCAAGAAGCAAATATATGATGAAGCAAAGAAGCAAACTAAGCAAACCACCATGGACAGAGTTTTGAAAAGTGTGACACCTCCTCAAGAAGAGCCTCAGGCGGGTTCTTCAGGAGGGATCACAGAAGGCATGGATATCATAGGAGACAACAGCTCTGCACACGGTGTTGCCGCTAAAGACCTTCAGTAAAATGAGATGTGGAGGTGGAAGGCAGGAATGTTAATAATCCTGATGCCACGTAGGTCCAGGTTAATGTGTATATTTGTGTCTTAGTTTTCAACAAAAAATTTTACAAAGAATAAAATAAGGAAAGTAAAAAAATATATAGAGAATTACAACATAAAGAAAATATCTTCTACAACTATACAATGTGCTTGTGTTTTAAGCTACATGTTATTGTCAGAGTCAAAAAAGCTAAATAAATTAAAGAGTTTTTGGTGTAAAAATGTGACAGTAAGCTAAGGTTAACTTATTATAGATAAAAGAAAATGTTTTTTTTTTTTATAAATTTAGTGTAGCTTAAGCCTACAGTGTTAATAAAGCCTACAGTAGTGTCAGTAGTGTACATTTATGTCCTAGGCCTTCGTAGTCACTCAGCACTCACTCCCTTACTCAGAGGCAGCCCTGCAAGTTCCCTTCATGGTAAGTGCCCTACGGAGGTGTAACATTTTAACTTTTATACTGTATTTTTATTGTACTTGTTCTATGATTACATCTATTTAGATATAGCAATACCTTTGCATTGCAATTGCTTACAATATTCAGTACAGTAACATGCTGTATAGATTTGTAGCCTGGGAGCAATAGGCTGTATCTATTGCTGTGTAGTATGCTATACCACCTAGTTTTATGTAAGTACATTCAGTAATGTTCCCACAATGGTATAATTCCCTAACAATGTATCCTTGCTGCTAAGCAATTCCTGACTGTTTAGGCTCATGTGATTATGGAGGCTTGAGAATCTCCATGATATGCCCTCTGAAAGCCGGAGACCCAGGAAAGCTAATAATATAATTCAGTCTAAGTCTGAAGGTCTGAGAATCACAGGAGTCAGTGCTGTAACTCCCAGTCTAAGGCTGAATGACTGATAATCAAGACCTGCCCATGGGTGAAAGGAAGAGAAGATGAATGTTCTAGCTTAAGGAGAGACAATGAATTTCCTGCAGGACAGGCAAGCCCCAAAATATTAGCTAAGCCCAGGAGGGTTCTTGGCTTCACCCAGAAAAGAATTCAAGGGCAAGTAAGTGGTGTTAAAAAGCAACTTTTGTTGAAGTAGCAGCATACTGAAACAGCAGTGTACAGCAGCAGCAGATGTACTGCTTCTGTGGAGCAGGGATCCCCCATAGGCAGTGTGCCCAGAGTAGCAAGCAGCTCAGAGGCAGTTCTGCAGTCATAGTTATATCCAATTTTAATTGTATGCAAAATAAGGGGCAGTTTATACAGAAATTTTTAGAAAATGGGTGGTTACCTTCCCAATTATCAGGTCATTGTCATGGAAAGGGGTGGTAACTTCTGGGTGTTGCCATGGCAATGGTAAACTGACATGGCACACTGGTAGGCATGTCTTTAGAAAAGCTGCTTCCCCTCTTAACCTGTTTTAGCTAGTCCTCAATTTGGTCTGGTGTTTTAAGCCCCACCTTTGGAGTTGAGTCTCACCTCCTACCTCAAATTCACACTTCCTCTAAATTTTTTTTCTGTTTGAGTCCTCAACAGATTGGATGATGCCTGCCCACATTGGTGAGTGAAGATGTTTATACGCAGTCTCCTGATTCAAATATTAATATTTTCCAGAAATATCATGATTTACCACTTCTTTCAGTATCGCTTAACCTGGTTAAGATTACCCCCCCCAAAAAAAAAAAAGAAAAAATATATATATATCTCACACTCATTTTCACTGCATTGCAGAAAGGTCAAACTTTGAGTTTAGGGAGATCATTTAGGGATTAATAATTCAGAAAAAAAAGGGCATGGAATGAACCAGGTGGTTAGAATGGGTTACAATGGAGATGGAAAACAGTGAAATATCTGAAAATTAAGAAAAACAATTGAAAGACCCTATGATTGATGGAGTATAGGAGTAAAAATGAGAAAGAAATGAAGATTTGTTTAATTCCAGTGTATAAAGAGTGCCACAAATATATTGACTATGTTTAAGCAGAGTTAAGTGTATTAATTATCTACAGCAAGAGAAAAACATACAAAGGAGCATCCTGGTAAGAAAAATTTGATGAAGATTATATAAATAATAATTGTGATGTCTAATTTTTTGTGTCAACTTGACTAGGTTAAGGGATGCCAGACAGCTAGAAGAACATTTCTGGGTGTGTCTGTGGTTTTGGAATAAACTAATGTTTGAATCAGTAAACTGAGTAAAGAAGATCTACCTTCACCAATATTGGTGAGCATCATCCAATCCATTGAGAGTTTGGATAGAACAAAAAGAGAAAGGGTTAATGCTTTCTTTCTTATCTTGAGCTGGGACATCCATCTTCTGCTCTTGGACATCCGAGCACCTGATCCTTCAGTCTTCAGACACTGGGACACCAGTGTCTGCTCCTACTTTCTGGTTCTCGGACCTTTGGCCTTAAACTGGGACTGGCACCATTGGCTCCCCTGGTTCTCAGGCTTTTGGACTCAGACTGAATTACACCATCAGGTTTCCTGGGTCTCCAGCTTGCAGACAGCATGTTGGGGGACTTCTCAGCCCCCATAATTGCATGACTCAATTCTCATAATACATCTTTGCTTATCTACAGTAAGTTCTCATTTAATATAAACAATAAATTCTTGGAAAATAAGAACTTAAGCAAAAATATGTATAACAAAGCAAATTTTTTTTCTCATCAACATTATAACAAAATAACCAACATTGAAGGAAACAGGAAACAACCTTATTTGAAGACGTGCTATACATTATTATTGTTATTATATTTGAGACAGAGTCTCACTCTGCCACCCAGGCTGGAGTGCAATGGCACAATCTTGGCTCACTGAAACCTCAGTCTCCAGAGTTTAAACGATTCTCCTGCCTCAGCCTCCCTAGTAGCTGGGATAACAGGTGCCCACCACAGCACCCAGCTAATTTTTGTATATTTAGTAGAGACAGGGTTTCACTATGTTGGCCAGGCTAGTCTTGAGCTCCTGACCTCAGACAATCCACCCACCTTACTCTCCCAAAGTGCTGAAATTATGGGCGTGATCCCATCATGTCAGCCACATTGTTTTGCTTAAAGTTGAAGTTTCTAAGAACCTATCAGCAAAGTTAAGTGAGGACTTATTGTGTAACTATATTAATCCTATTGGTTTGGCTTCTCTGCAAAATGGCTTTGGTAAGTTTGGGGTTTCTGTTGAAGCCACAAGTGGTCATACGTAGTTGGGAATAGAAGGAAACATATTTTTGACTAAATCCCATATCTCTACGATTCGAACTAAACATGTATTGTGTTTTCACAAGAGCAAAAATGATCAAACATCATATAGAAATTCTATTCACTATAAAAATCCGGAATATAATTACAGATGTAATTCAAATTTATAAGTTTGGAAATATTAATGAATAATGTTAATATTTTTTTTCTTTTGCAAAGTATTTTTCTCAAATTTCTCTGCTTAGATAGAGGTAGTGGAACTCACATCAAAGAAGTATTTAGAACCTGTAGTTTAAGACAGAAAAACATTTTATATCACTTATTGCCAAATGGAGAATTTCAAGAGTTTTCATATTGACTTTGCTACTAGATTAAATAAATAAATGGAAATTTAAAAGTAACCATATAAGTGATCACCTCTTTATCATGCTTGGTAATTTTTTTTTTTTTTCAGGAAAAATCAGATAGGAGCAATCAAGGTGCTGAAAGTCCTGCTTACTCAGAGATGTTAACCATGTATCATGTGAACCCCAATCATGTTCTAATTTGCCCTCCAAAAGGAGGAACAGGTAAGGATTATCCCAACTGACAATACCTGGTGATATTTAAGTATAATATCCAGTCTCTATATAACCACTTTCCATATCAAAGTAGGATTTAGAAATATTAATGGTAATAGTTTGCTTTATTTTATGTAAATAAAATAGCCCTTTTATTTACATAAAATATAAAAACCAATTTATACATTGGTTTTAGAAATCAATGTATAAATTTGCAAAGTGCAAATCTAGGACAGGTTTAAAAATGTCATTTTCTTTTTAGTTAATATTTTCTTCGTTAGCACCATTTAACCTTTAGCAAATTTGGTTTTTTTAGTCTACTCTTAAAAATTATCACTTTTTTTCACTCTTTAAATATTTGATGTTGAAATCCGCATAACATAAAGCGAATGCAACTGTCACGAGCAGGACAATTTATCATTCATTTGCTATTGGAAAAATAAACACAAAATACAACAAAAAACAGAAATATAAAAATCTCACTTGAAGATAGCACTTTTAATGGTATGTCATTTTAATTACCACTGGAATATAATATTTTATAATATTTTATTCACATATTAAACTTGTTAGTACTTAAGAGCAAATTCTATGTTTTGCTTTTTCTTTAATGTCATTATCTAGGTTATTCCTGAAATGACACTTGAGTAAGAAAAAAAAACTGCCGTTAAGGCTATTCCTTAGAAAATATAAGAACAATTTCCTCTCTGATAATTTTGTTCAAAAACAATTAGTAATTCACACAATATAGAAACGCATGTATTTATAAAAATGAAAGAATATTTTAATATAAAATTAGTACCAAGTTTAGAAAAATACTCATTTAAATTTTATTCCACTCAAGAATCAGTATAATGTATTAACTTAATGACACAAATTGAAAAATACATGTTAGTCAAGTGATTACAAACACAATAATGAAGTAAGGCTGTTTGAGTTAAATTGTTAAGTTCTAACATTTATAAGTTCTGTAATATTGGCAAGTTTTTAAAAGCTTTTTGTGCCTCATGTTTTGCATCTATAAAAGAAAAATAATATAAGAATTCTGAGAGAATTTAATAACAATAAATATGAAGGACTTGAAAAGTGTATCATGTATAATAGGCACGACATAAATGTTAGGTGATGGTGAGGAGGTTGATGATGATTTTCTTTAATAATTTAATTTGCATTGTAGTCAGTTTCTATGACAGTGTCCTTGTTTATAACAATAATATATTCATTTGCTTCATATAGTTTTTTCTCAATAATTGCAAACTACAGTAAGAAAAAATGTTTCATAAAAAGCCAAAATGATACTTTTGTCATTCTGTCACATGAGTCAACAGGTGATTTATAAATTTCCTTTATAGCTTTTCAGAATAGAAATATAATCATATAGTCACATGAATTAAAAGTGTTTAGACAAATACTTAGCTTGAACAAGATTTAGTATTCCATGAAAAATAAATAATATGTACTTATATGATGGTGACATCTAATAATAGATTATCTCCTTCTTAATGTGGAAAGACATATAAATCCACTACATTTAACTTCACACAAAATTGAAAGAAAATATAGTATGACGTAACTGTCAATCTTCTTTAATGCATAATTTTAACATTGACCGACTAATACACGAAAAGAGAAAGGAGAGAAAAAGAAATTGACAATTACTTAGTGACAATTGTGTGGTAGATGCTGTTCTAGTTACTATGAGCACTGTATGGATTCATCATATTTTAAATCTATTTATCTGTTGATAAACATTTGTTTTGATCCGATCTCTGACAGGATTGGAAAGAATACACAATGTGGAAAGGAAGTTGTCTTCAACAAATGCTACTGAGATCACTGGGTATACCCAAGTAAAAGATTGAAGTTGGACTCCTATCTTACACTATTTGTAAAAGTTAACTAAATCCAATAACCTAAATATAAGACCTAAAACTATAAAGCTTTCAGAAGAAAATTATTACAACTTTATGACATTGAATTTGGCAGTTGATTCTTAGATATGACAAAAATGCAAGCAACAAAATGTAAAACAAACAGTTAAATTCAACTCCATTAAAATGAAACACTTTTCTGTTTCAAAGGCATTTTCAAGAAAGTTAAAATACAACCTATAAAATGGGAGTTAATATTTGCAAATCACATATAAGATAAAGGTGTTATATGCAGAATATATAAATAATTCTCACCATTCAACAACAAAAAATTAAATAATCCAATTTAAGATAAGCAAAAGATATACAAATGCCCAAGAACTACATGAAAAGATACTCAACATTGTTAGTCACCATAGTGACTAATGCAAATCAAAACCACAATAAGATACCATCTTATATCCATTAGAATGGCTATAACTACACACAAAGCAAGAATAAACAAACAAACAAAAAACAGAAAATAACAAGCATTGGTGAAGATATAGAGAAAGAGACATTCTTAAATCTTGCTAAAGGGAATGTAAATTTATTCAGCTATTGTAGGAAAAAGTTTGTCCATACCTCAAAAAATGAAATTTGAACATATTATATGACCCAGTATTCTACTCTGTGCTGTTTACCAGAAAAATTATAAACAGATACTCAAACAAAAACTTGTACATGGATGTTAACAGCAGCACTATTCCCAATAGCCATAAGGTGGAAACAACCCCGGTTCATCAGCCAACAAATGGGCAAACAAAATGTGGTATATCAATATAATAATAATCAGCCATAATATAATGAAGGACTGATGCTTTCTATAACATAGATAAATGTCAAAAATATGTTTAGTAAAATAAACCAAACATGAAAGTTCATTTTAATAGTTACATGATTATTACCATTATGTGATTCCATTTATAGAAAGTATTTAAAATAAATACATACAGAGAGAATGCAGCATGTTTCCAGGGACTGAAGGGGCTGTGGGGGAGTGGAGGCTGGAGAATGAATATTTGTATGTATTAATTTTGGGGAGTTGTGATAAAAATGTTTTGGAACTAGACAGGCATTTTGACTGCACAATATTGTAAATATACTAAAGATTACCAACTTGTTCCTGTTAACACTGTTAATTTTAAGTTATGTGAATTTTACCTCAATAAAAATCAAATATGAAACTTATCAGGAAGGTGGGATAGAGTTCAAAAGTTATCTGATGGAGGAACAAGTGTGTAAGAGTCAGAACACGGGAACAAAAGTGTTGACCAAGTTAGTTAGATTTGGATAGAATTGATGCTTATGCCTGAGAAAGAGGAGAAAAATAGGATGTTTGATCACCGGTGAGATAATTGATATTTAAGACCTTTATATTATGTTTCACTTCTTTTTCAATAGCAGTCAGACATGAAACGTTAAGGGTAGGGATACATTTAAGGCTTTCAAAAATTTTAAATATTTTGATTTATTAGTACAGGGTCTCAATTTGTTACCCTAAAATAAATCATAAGATTTACAGAAAGAATACAAGTTGTGAACAATTACCAAAGAAATAAAAATCTCTGGAAGGAAAGGAAATTGGTCTGCAGGTTGATATTTTATGCCAATTTTTAATGACTATCATGAGACATGTTCTTGCACAATTATAGAATTCAAGGGGCCAAGAGTCATGATGATATTAGATTTATCAATAGTATCAATTGGAAAAACTAAATCAATGAAAAACTTATTCAATAGTTTGGTTAAATTAATTTCATAGAATTTAATTTTAACATCAACTCCCAATCAAAACTGAGCACAGGAGCACTGAGAAATCAATAGTAGTTTTATTTTCTCACACTCAATTTTAAACCAGTATACTGTTTATTTATATTTAGAAAATGCAATGCTGTAGTGGGGTTCGTACTTAGAATTTTTCTATTTGTTTTCCACTTGATCCAACAGTTGTATGTTGTTTTCTTTTCTCTTTTAGTCTTACTTTTACTAATTAGTGTTTTTCAGTATCCTGTTTTGTCATTCTACTAGCTACAGAGATCCACATTTCATTACTGCTAGAGTAATGAATGCATTGTTGAATCATTAAGGTTAATACAATTGAATACTTTGCTTCCCAGGATAACAATATATTAGACCTCATTAAATCAATTTCTCCCTCCTATTTCTTTTTGTTTTGTTGTCATGCATTTATGGTTCTTCATTTTAAAAACCTATATGTATTAATGTTCTTGTTTTCTACAATAGCTGTTTATTAATATTTACCTACAAAATCACCCGTTTGTTATTCTTCACTTTTTACTGCATACTGTTACTTTGGTCTGGAATTACGTTCTCTGCCAGAAGAACTTTTTTTAAAGTAATTATTTAGGTACAATCAGCTGGAAACAATTTTTGTTTGTTTTTATTAGTCTTGAAATGTCTTAACTTTTAAATGATATTTTTGATGGAAGTATAATTTCTAGGTTTGCTAGTCATTTTCTTCATCACTTTAAAGTTACCATTTATTTTCTTCTCCTTTATGTAATTATTTGAGAAATAAAGTGTCAATTTTATTATTTCATCTTTAAAAATGACATACAGTTTGTCTTCTGTATCTGTGGGTTCTATATTCATGAATCCAATCACCTGCAAATGAAAAAAATTACAAAAAAAATTGCACCTGTACTGAACACATACACACTTAATTTTCTTTTTTCATTTCCTACATGAATTAATATAACAACTATTTACATAGCATTTGCATTGTATTAAGTGTTATAATCAATGTAGAGGTGATTTAAAGTATATGGGATGATGTGCAAAGGGGATATGCAAATACTATTTTATTTTATGTCAGGAATTTGAGTATCCATAGATGTTGCTATGTCTGGGAGGTCCTGGAACCAATCTCCCATGAATACCAGAGAGCAACTGTATCTCTTTTATTTGGCTGCTTTTATAATTTCCTATATATCTTTTGATTATCAGAAGCTTTTTGTACATTATGACTAGCTGTGTCTCTCTCTGTGTTTATCTTGCCTGATTTTCATGAGATTGTACTTTGATGTTTGCCTTTATATTTAGAAGATTATTATCTTTAACTTATTCAGAAGGTTGCTTCTCTGTTTCATTCTCTTCCT